CAGCTCTCGGCCGGCCGGGCCGCCCGGCCAGCGTCCGATTTTCTCGCGTCCTGCCGCCCCCTTTCCTTCCCCGCCGCCCAGCCGCAAGTGCGTGGTCGGGGCGGCGCCGGCGCCGACAGGTAGCGGTGGGCGCTCTCTGGAAGTGTCCGCGCAGAGCCCCAGTGGCCTCCCGGCCGAAGGTGGGGCGAGGGTACTGTCTCGGGGAATGGAACCCTCTCGGAAAGACGGAAGACTCCTTTTAGGCTCCCCGGGCTTCTTTGGCTCAGGAGGTATTTATGAATGTGGAATTCTAAATCTCTAGTCGGCCGTGAAGGCTAGAATACGTGGGGCTTTTATTTTCTAAAGAAGTGTCTAGGAAATTAACTTGAATTTTCAGTTTTGAAGTTTTTCTACCGCGGGGGTACCCTTTTGCCCTCCTCTTATCTTTTCAGCGTTTGAGCCAGAGAATCATTTGTTTGGAAGGCATCTGAGTCATTCCAGGTATGAGGACTTGGCCGGTGGTCAAGTGAGGCATACGAGTGCTAGATGGTGTTCCCTGAAGCACTGCCCTCTGACGGGAAGGCCGCCGAACCTCCGTGCCTCAGTTTCCCTCCAGGAAGAATCATTCCCACCTGTCAGTACAGATGCGTGCAGCTAGGCTCAGGGCTCCTGAGAAAGCCTAATGCTGGGGCCTGTCTTGGAGGGGGCCTGCGACAGGGAAGAAACAGACACTCCTAGCTGTTCCATGGCTCCTGCTGCTTCAGAGCCCCCACATGGCCCTGATTGGCCCAGCATCTCGGACATGCCCGGAGCAGGGCTTCGGAGCCCAGGCTACTTGCTGTGTGGACTTGTTGCTGTCCCTGCTGCAGCCTCCAGCTTTTGAGATCTTCCTTGTCCTGAATGCTTCCCACATTCCCCCAATCACAGCGGAGGCCTCAGCTCTCCACTGACACGGTACCTTGCTTACTCGGGGACCTTCGTGCCCTCAAAGCCTGCACCATGCCACCCTGTACCCCGGCCCCCAGCCCTAATTTAGAACTTGGAAATCACTTAAATTACTTTCATGAAGAATAATCAGATGTGTCACCTCTTGACAGTGCAGGTTGAATCAAGCCTGATGCAGCCTCAGCTAAAGTTTCAGCTTGGTCTCTTTCCTTAGCCCGGCTGGCCTCTGGTCTTAAGTTTAACTCTCTCATCACCCTTGCCTTGCAGCTCTGTGGCGCCGCTCCACTTGGGATTTCACGAATGCTTTCTTGGTCAATGAAGCCTTTTGCCCTTACCGTTTCTTCTCTCCCACAGCGCAACAGCTCCCGCTGGCAGTGTCACCTCCCGCCGGTGTATTCCTTTCCTGCCAAGGCTCTGAAATGCCAACTATGTCGAGACCTGCACTGGATGTCAAGGGCGGCACCTCCCCCGTGAAGGAGGTGAGTTTTACCATTTTGCAGATGAAAACAGAGGAAAGGAAAGACAAACTATTGGAGGATCACGGGCCAGCCCCCCACCAGCTGTGATATCTAGCTGGTGTCCTTGGCAGAGAGAAGACAGCAAGGCTTTCTCTGGGGAGAATGAGAATAGTTTTTGCCCATGTGTGATCATATTGAACCCACCATGGGTGTTGAAAGGTGGCGGGGAATGGAGCAGAGCAGAGAAAATGGAACACAGCCACCATATTAAAGAGGTAAAAGGCTGAAGAGAGGGACCACAGGAAGCCCTTTTTTGAAGAGTGGGGTGAAGGGTCCTGGCAGGGAGAAGAAAGCTGTCAACTCAGGATGGTGGGTGCCCCACCACTAGAACTGGGGTCTGATCTCTGCACAGATACTTGGGTTGAGGGCCTAACTTTCTAAGGATTCACCTTGCTGCCTCCCCACCTCTACTCCTAAGTAAAGTACCTGAAGGAGGCTTCCAGGTCTGCTGAATGGTGAGGACAAACCAGGAACAAGGGTCCTATGGTGTGCCTTTTTGTGTCTTCTAGGACGCCAACCAGGAGATGAATGCTCTGGCCTACTCTAACCTAGGGGTGAAAGATCGAAAAGCAGTGGCCATTCTGCACTACCCTGGGGTGGCCTCCAATGGAACCAAGGCCAGCGGGGTTTCCACTAGCTCCTCGGGATCTCCATCTCCAGTAGGCTCTCCTACTTCCACCCCTCCCGCTAAGGCCCCACCCTTCAACCTGCACCCCACCCCTCACCTGCTGGCCAGTATGCAGCTGCAGAAACTTAATAACCAGTATCATGGGATGGCCGCTGCCACTCCCAGTCAGTCTGGGGAGGCTGGGCCTCTGCAAAACTGGGGCATTGGGGCACAGGTGGGAGGAGCGGGGACCCTCTCTCCTGCTGGTGCCCAGAGCCCTGCTATAATCGATTCTGACCCAGTGGATGAGGAAGTGCTGATGTCACTGGTGGTGGAACTGGGACTGGACCGAGCCAATGAGCTTCCAGAGCTGTGGCTGGGGCAGAACGAGTTTGACTTCAGTGCGGACTTTCCGTCTGGCTGCTGATGCCAAGTATCCCTAAAGATGGAGGAGTAAAGCCACCAGTTCTGTTGTAAATAAAAATAAAAGTTACTTGCAAAGAGATAAGCTGACTGGAGGTGTTCTTCATGGAAGCCTAAAGGGATGCAATGCAGTCTGGCGTCCTTCCAGCAATTCGGAGGCCCATAGTGGGATTGCAGGCAGCTAGGTGTGACAGACCTGGATGGAATAGAGGAGTGGGAAGGACTGCACAGGGCTGTTCTCCAGATTCCTGCTGCCACTGCCACTACCTTCATTGTGCTGAGGCCCCAGGGATCCTGTCCTTCCTATTCAAGATTGAATACAGGGACCACTAGGGGCATTCTTGGAAGACAGACTGATTGAAACCTTTCTGTCGCCCCTTCACCACTAGTACATCAAGTCCAAAGGCGCATCCCTGGCTATATGGCACACACTTAACTAGTTCCAAAAGGCACCAGTCCCTGCCAGGTGTGATGCCACGTACCTGTAATCCCAGTACTAGGGAAACTGAGGCAGGAGGATCATTGCAAGTTTAAGGCCAGGGGGCTACACAGTGAGACCTTACCTCAAATAAACACCAGTCCAATTGGTCCAATAAGGACACTGCTTACACTTTTGTCTGGGTGCAATAGACAATTTCAAAGGGTTGTATCACCTAGAAGCTGAAAAATTGCTACTCTGCCCAACAAAAGGTAAGTCATTTGTAGGAAAATGGATGCACCTTGAGATGATGATGCTAAGTGAAATCAGACACAGGTTAAACAACATTAAGATAAAAGATAAGTAGGAAACAGGCCAATAGTGGAGATGGGAAGGGAAGTAAACATGACTAAGATGTGTTGGAGGTACATCTGAAGAGAATTTAAATCACAATGGCCAGATTTGCCTACTTCCCTAAGGGATAAATGGAACGTGGAGATTATTGATACTACTCTCTTGAGATGTTATAAATAAACCATTAGCTCATTAGGAGTGGGCCCTCCTCTCCTACCCACTAACACTACTAAGACTGTAGATTATCACCCACGGTTAATGATGTCATCCACATGGCCTTGCTACTATTGGATCGATATTAGCCAAGTGGCTATACTTGTAATCATATTGGTTAATTATAGTTTTGACCCTCGTGGTACCCACTTCTTGATGTTGCTCTATAAAACTTGGTTTGAAAGGTGGGCTTGTTGGCAGCCCACTTGGGACCCCTCTTTTCTCTCAAGAGCTATTCCTATTCCCCATTACTTTTCCCCAGTAAATTTTCTTACTCTTAAAAAATGATTAAGATATGGTATGTATATGTATTAATTTCCCAAGGTGAATGTATTATATATTACAAATATATACTAATTTTTTTTAAAAAGACAATTGCAAAAACTATAGACTCCCACCATTAAACTGGGATTCCAACTGCTTTATTCAAGCCTCTCCGACAGCTGCTCAGCCCCTTCCTCCAATCCTGGAACATACCGAGCTGGTCTGAGTGTCACCTGACCCTTACTTCCCTGGCCCACTTCATCTGGGGAC